TCGCGTGTGAGGGGTTTGCCGTTCGTATCCAGCGCGTGGATATTCACCGGGGTGTGCTCTGCACCCGGCCACTATAAGAAAGAATTCAGATCGAGGATTTGCCTTGAAATAACATCAGACGCACGTCAACTTGGCAGCGGACACGGGACCATGATGCGCGATCGGCAAGGACGTGATCATTCGGCCTATCCAGCCTCATGTGCCCCCGTACGACGGCGCCGAGCGTCGGGCCTGGTGCGCCAGCGATAGTGAAGCGGATGCTCGGAAAGGATGGCTCTCCACTGTGCACATCCCGTCGGGGCATGATGAGGCAGCGCATCCCGTTCGGCTGCGTGTGGGGGTAGACGTGGGCGCCAACAGAGGTGGCTCCAGCCGTGGGGTAATCGATGAGGTGCACGACACCACCTTCGAGGCAGGCGGGATCCCTGGGTGACCGATTTGGTACAGGGTGTGTGTATCGTTTCGCGGGTGGCGTTGGTGTGTAGGGTTGGCCTTGAGAGTAAGATTCCTGAGCCGAAGGGTATTGCTGATTTCGAGGCATATTGAGAAGTATTCGCGTTTGTTGAGGAGCATTACCAGGATCTTCATGCGAGTTAAATATGAGTAAGAGTCAATGCGTGGAGTGCCACTGTGTCAATGCGTTGTGGCCCAAGCACCATTGCTAGCCAAATCGAGCGGCCCGAGTCACAGTTTTGCCATTGTTAATATACCAAGTCCAGCATCTGGTCAATTGTGCACGCAACAATTGCTTTTGGAGAACAGAGCTCTCAGCGACTTGGTTGGCGTTGGAATCTCGTGAGTGGGGCCAGTGAAGCCTTCTGTCCGATTTTTCCTCAAGTCCGATTTTCCAGCCAGTTCAGGCGTTTTGTCATTCGAAGATGTGCAGAGAGTGGACATGGTGGTAACAAGAGAATGAGAGGTGTCAAGTGCCAAGATAGGAAAACCTGCCCTAAAAGCTTTTAAAAACAACACGAATCAACAGATGAAGGGATCGACGTTTGATTTGCCATACATTTCTTTCATCTCTTTCTCAACTCCTCTTGTGAAGCATTAACTTGCTTCTTGCACCCCTCGCCTTGGACTTCTCCCCCTCCAGTCCTACCACAACCCCGCAGCAATGGCCTCTCAAATCTCCCAGCAGTACGCATGTTAGTGCAAGTTTTTTCTGAGCCGAAACACGTGCACTACCCGTGGGCATGAACCGGAAGGGCGAGATGGCCATCTCACAACTTCGAGAGAGAGATGTTCATCTTGGCATGGTTTCGGCTTGCGCAATCTATAATCGCGATCTAATGGCGAGATCTTCTAGTTCGTGCCCAAAAATCACTTGGCCTCGTCAATGGCACTCCCGACTACGAACTCGTGCCGGGCTTCACTGCCCCAGACGTCCCAGCCCGCACATTCCATTACAGTGCTGATGGCCGATTTTTTGCTATTGCCCTGCCCGCTGTGTGAGTTTTATCATGACTTGTCCTTGCTAGTCCATATAACATGATTTCATTAACAGGGTGCGGATATACCAGGCAGAGGGTGCCCAACTTCTCCAGGAACTACCCCTTGCGAACATCATCGAGCTCCGTTTCTCTCCTCGCGGAACCTATATCTCGACTTGGGAACGCCCTGGTACGTTTGCATATACACCTGGTCTCGTGCATCCACCTATGCCCCATTTCAGTCAAATTAGAAGATGGAACACAACACAAAAATTTACGAATCTTCTCGGCCTCCACGGGCGAGGAGCTTGTCGCATTTTCCCAAAAGTCTTTGGAAGGATGGGATGTCCAGTACACCATCTCCGAGTCGCATGCGATCCGACTCGTGTCTTCCGAGATCCAGGTATACCGCCCAGCCGAGTGGTCCAAGGGCATCGTGGACAAACTCAAGGTCGAGGGTGCTACGAGCGTTTCGCTTAGCCCCGGGCTCAACCCCTCGATTGCGGTCTTTGTGGCCGAGAAAAAGGTGTGGCGTGTTCTTAGCGTGTTCGTGTCCATGCGTTAATCTCGTGGTTATAGGGTGCTCCGGCCAGCATCAAAATCTATGGCTTGTTAACACTCGCCGGGGTGGCTACGTGCCAAAAGTCCTTTTTCAAGGCTGACCGTGCTCAGATCAAGTGGAATACACTTGGTACCCAGGTTCTTGTGTTGACCGCAACTGAAGTCGACAACACAAACAAGAGCTACTATGGAGAGACTGGCTTGTATCTCCTCAGTGCGGCCGGCAACTTTGACTGTCGCGTAACCCTTGACAAGGAGGGTCCGATCCACGACTTTGAGTGGAGCCCGAACTCGAAGGAGTTTGGTGTCGTGTATGGATGTGAGTGGAAATTTGTTCGACTGGATCCGGATAATTTACTGAGTGTTTTCAGACATGCCGGCGAAGACCATGCTATTCGACCAGCGTGTACGAACACTGCACGATTTCGGTTCTTCTCCACACAACACTATCTCGTTCAACCCTCAAGGCCTGGTGCTGCTGGCCGGCTTTGGCAACTTGGCAGGAAAGATCGACATTATCGACCGACGCATTCTGCGTAAGGTGTGCACTATTGACGCACCGAACACTTCACACTGCGAGTGGTCCCCAGACGGCCGCTTCATTCTCACAGCGACCCTATCCCCGCGGCTGAGGGTGGACAACGGGGTCAAGATCTGGCACTGTACTGGCCCACTGATGCATAACCAAGTCACCGAGGAACTATACCAGGTTACCTGGCGGCCGACGCCCATCGACGCTGTTCCGCCGTTCGGGCACCAAGTACCAACAGCGCCGCCTCCCAGTGAGAGCGTGCGTAACCTTGCGGCGGTCCAGAAGCCCGTCGCCACGAAACCCGCGGGCGCTTACCGCCCACCCGGTGCTCGGGGGCTGGCAACGCCCGCCATCTTCAAGCGCGAGGACGAGGGCGGGGCCGCGCGCCTTCCGACGAACGGTGCCGCCACCCCGCTGCGCGGGTATAACAGGAGCCCGAACCCGCCTGGGGCCCCCCAGAATGGCCAGTATGGGCAGAACGGATACCATCATCACCAGGGACAGAACGGGAATGGGGGCAGGCGGCAGGTGCCCGGGGCACCCCACCCGCAGCAGAATGCTGGTTCACCGGGCCCCGAAGGAGATAAGAAGAATGCGCGGAAGAGGAAGGGGAAGAAGGAGGGTGGGCCACAGGTGCCGGAGTTGGAGGTGGTGGTGAATGGGGGCAAGGAGAGCAGGCAGGGGAGCGGCACCAATACCCCTGCGGTACTCGAGCCAGTGGTGGCTGAGGCGGCGTCTCCTGTTACACCGGGCTTGGATAGCTCGTTGGACCCGGTTGCGAAGAAGGTTCGTAACTTGACGAAGAAGGTATGTATTTATGGGTTACTGGGCCTCGAATGGTAGCTGAACGGTCTTTGGTATAGCTTAAAGCCATCGAGGAGCTCAAGGAAAAGGCCAAGAGGGGTGAGAGGCTCGAGACGACACAGCTCAGGAAGATGGATGGCGAGGTCGAGATCAGGAAGGAGTTGACTAGCTTGGGTGCTACGGGCTTCTAAGCGCACACACACACTTGCTCTTGGTGATGGAGCCAGGATACCTACTTCCCGTTATCTATCTTCGATTCTGTCCTCGCGTCTGTATACTGTCGCTGTTTCTTAGCTGCGTTTGGGTTATATATATTATGCTGCGCGCACAGAGGTCCACATTCATGCATCATGTCTCGCTACCCGACCGTTTCACACAAACTAGTAGCTGCTCGCCTCTGACATCATGACCTAGATTGAAACAAGCATAGCATACAAGTGGGTACATAGGTGAGTCTGCATGGTATAAGTAGCGAATACAACCCTCCATTCAGATATCAGGGAAGAACGAAGATAGAGAGTCGAAGAAATTATGACGCGCTTCATTGAGTGTCTGGTCCCATCTCGCGTTACAGTCATTGCACACCGCGTCCTCCACCACATCGCTCGTCCCCCTCTCGACCTTGTGGCTGCGCATGCTCCGCAGTGTGGTCAGCACATCCATCGTGCGCATGACCAAGCGGTGGAGAACCACGACGCGCCAGTAGATGTGCAGGGTGCATCCCTCATCACCCTTGCACTGCCATGTATCGAGCATGAGCGCCTCCATGCGGTCCGCGACCCAGCGCATCATGCGCTCGCGGCCAAGGGCAGCCTTCTCACGGTCTGCGGGGGACAGCAGATGGCCACGCACACCACGAGCATGGCGCGGCGCTTGGTTGTGCTGCCCGTACGTCGCGTTGACAGGCAGTCGCGTGAGATGGTAAAAGGCAAGCGGTAGTATTCGCGGCTCGAACTTGCGTGCCAGGCGAATGACGGAGGCAGGTTCAGGTGCGACGTCGTCCATCGTGCACTTTTGTGATTTTTGGAGCCGCCGTGAGTAGAGGGCTTCGCGCTCGTCCCAGCCGTTCAGTGTTAAGGGCCAGTCCTCGCGGATGTATGACAGAATAGTGTCTTTTAGTGGTTCAATGAGAAACCTGTCAGCAAGTTTCAGTGGCCCGTACATCTTGAAAGCGATATCGGGGTCTCCTCTTTGTATTGGGGCTGCACTGAAAATATAGCTAGTTTGTCAGTCGAAGGTTTGTTCTGCCGGTGTCGTGCACTCACAATGGCTCATAGAGGAATTTTAAAAATATGTTAAGGTCTCTAGGGTCTTCCTGAAACTCGACGAGAGGAACGCCGTCGTAAATTTCACGTACAGGATTTGATGAGTCGGGAAAAATATGGTCACTCAGAGCTTTGGAGTGTTTTGAGAGAATGGATTGGTGGACACGAAAGTAGGTGTGGTTCCCTTCGCGGTCCCGGGTCAGAATAACAAGGTTCCCGTCAGGAAAGTAGAGATCCGGGTCGTTTGTGATGTTTATACAAACATCGTCCGAGTCAACAGACATTTTGAAGATGGTAACCGCACACTTTGGAACCTCGTGGAGCAATAGAACTTCTTCAGTAGAAGCGCCGCGCGTAGTGCAAGATCATGTGACACATGATGTCAGAGTTCTGCGCTGATTACATGGCCGCCTGGCGAAATGGCATCGCGTCTGACTACGACTGGCCAGTTCTAATCAGGAGATTGCAGGTTCGACCCCTGCGGTGGTCATTTTTTCTTCTCATTTATATGGTCGAAATATTCATCCGCTGCCGCCGCTTGTGAGCTGCCCCTCTCATCTACCTTCATCCACCCATCACTTACGAGTTTTTAGAAGCGCTCAGGACGATGTATATACTCCTGGCTATCTTCTCGACGCCATGAATACTTACATAGACCCCTATGCATCTCTTTCCTTGGGCGGTGAATTTGACATTGAGGAGTATGTCCCTGATCTCGAACGTGCTGTTGTTGTCCCCTGGCGCACCGTGCCCCTCAGGCACAGTGGAGGTTGCTTTTATGACACCCAGCGGCAGGACCCTTGTTGAATGATCGTTGTCCCTCATTCTCCTCGCACCTCCAACCCACCTTGAACATTCGCCCACAGCCTCACCCATGGCTTTAATGGGAATTAACTACGCCAAATTTGTCGGGATTCATTCCATCGCAGCGGCTATCGTCTTCGCTGTTGTTTACGTGCCTCTGTTTGCCTGGTTTTTGCGACAGTCATTCGGCCGTCCGACGTATGTCTTCGTTGTGCTGGCATTGTTCTGCGCAAGTAAGTATCTGAATTGTTGTCCTCGACGCTCCTGGGACTCAAAACATCTCTAGTACGTATAACTGCGTTCACAATTCGTGCGATCTTGGCAGGCGTGAACTCGGCTGGGGAGAATCTCAATCTCCTCATCGCAGACCAGGTGCTCTTCGGCGTAGGCTTTTTCGGCCTTTTGTATTCCGCATACACCCTCGTGCTTGATAGGTAAGTATATCCAGTGTTCTTCCCACCGTCGAGGTCTTTGAACGGTGAAACTCTTCATATCCAGGTGGCTCCTCGTTGATCCCCACAAATCCCGCACAGGGCTCATCTCGCGTGTGATGAAGAATAGGAGGTTGTTCAGAGTGATTCTCATCGCTGCTGTTGCATTGGGCACTGCTGGCGCCGTTCAAGCGACAAGCGCAAACCCCAAAACAGGAGATTCACTGAGGGTCGCGAGTACTGCGATTTTCTTGGTCTTAACGGTCCTCACGGCACACCAAACCCTTCATCTGGCACAAGCTGAACTGAATTGTCAGTTTTTTCGATCACTCCCCAGAACTATGAAACTGATGTGATGGTATTCCACCAAAGATGACGCCGTGGATTCGACAGGGTCTATCGGAAGGGTATATGGAGCCTATATCCTTGTTATAATCGCGCTGCTGCTCCTTGTGCGCGAAGCGTTCGCGACCGCGACTGTTAAAAATCTTGCCAAACAGTATGATGAGCGTCTTTGGTACCCCCTATACGCCCTGCCGGAAGTTTTGGCAGTATTTCTCTATGCTACTCCAGGCCTCGTCCCACCTCGCTCGGAGCTCCCTACCTAAGGGCTGACACGTTATGACCGACGCTTCTTATTGTTTTTAGGTGTCAGATTGCTAAGGAGCACCCAATCTACTCTTACTGTGACTATTTACTAGTTGTGGATCCTTTTAACTTCATGTAAAGCCCTCCCTGGTTCGTAAGCCCAAGTGTCCAGACGTAAGGTAAGCTGCCACATGAACTCGAATCGAACCTACTACACCAAGGCCCGATTAAAAATAGCCGGAGCCACCGCCCACACCAAGGCCCCTTGGTGACAAAATTAAAAATAGCCAGAGCCACCGCCCACCACGGACTATTTTTACTTTCCAACATTCCATAGCTGTACGTCTGTCTTTGGTTGCTGCGCGGTACTGCGCGCCTGCCAGTGTGGACATGGGGCCGTGAAGTTTTTCATCTGTTCACAGCCACCATCTACATTTTGGGAGAACTAGCGATGCTTATCACAACTCTTCGGTGATGCAATTCAGATATCCTGCACCTGAGCCGACCGTGCCTCCTCGAGGCATCGGAACCCGATCAACACCGTTCTATATTCGAACGGTGCAATCGAAATGGTGCGCTGTGGTATCGTTTATAAGGCTGACTCCAAGGCGATCGGGCGTTCCCAAGACACATTCCTTCATCCTCACAGCGACTTCGCTAGGACACTATGAGCTCTCAGGGCCCCAACTATGCTGATTTCTTTGGCATCCACTCCATCGCAGCCGCTGTCATTTTCGCAGTCGCGTACGTTCCTCTTGCTGGCTGGTTCGCGATCCAGTCATTTGGACGCCCTACATATGTCTTTCTCATCCTCACCTTTTTCTGTGCAAGTGAGTAGATCGATATACTACCAAGCTTCAATTCTCTAACCACGTTCTCATTTCTAGTCCGTATTGCGGGGTTCATCATCAGAGCTATACTGGCAGCTTCCGACAGCGTAGCAAGCAACTTGGGCGTGCTCATTGCGGAGCAGGTGCTGTTCGGTGTCGGCTTCTTTGGCCTCCTGTATTCCGCGTACACACTCGTTCTCGATCGGTGAGTTTCATCATCCATGCCTAATAAAACCACACTCAATCACGACTTCCTTAATCCCAGTTGGTCACTCACTTCGACAGCCCCCGGGACCGACCCTCTGTCGCGCTTCACTCACAACCGGCGGATATTCCGGATTGCGCTCATGATCGGCGTCGTCCTTTTCATCGTGGGTATCACAGAAGCCACGAACACGGACCCGTACAAAGGAAACTCGCTGAGAGTCGCAGGGACCATCGTATTCCTTGTCCTTACGGTGCTTCTGGCCTACCAAACCGTGCTCCTGTCTCGTATAGAGCTCAGTCAGTCACATCTGTTTTTGTTCATGATATACACAGCCATTAACCATCCAATATCCTTTACACAGGGGAAAACGACTACAACTCACGTGCAAAGATCAATTCGGTTGGTCGGCAGCACGGCGCGTACATTCTTTGCACGATAGCTGTGCTCCTCATTGTGCGCGAGGCTTTCTCGACCGTTGCGGTCTTTGACCATGCGAAGCAGTACAACGAGAGGCTTTGGTACCCGCTATACGCCCTCCCAGAGCTACTCGCGGTTATCCTGTACACCGCGCCGGGCTTGGTGCCCCCGCGGTCTGAATTACCTGCTTATCAGCCATGAATCAGTGTCGCTTCGCTTTAAAACTATCGTTGTATCTGGTGTACTTGTATTATAGAGGCTGGGATTTCTCACTAAAAGTACCGGCGTCACTTTCTTTACTTTACTCCTCATGGTCCACATCACTTGGACATAATGCGTTACCCATATAAAATATATTACTTTCAAAAAAAAATGTGTATTGTCCGAGTCAACTTTTTATAATCGCGCTTCTTCTCCTGGTGCGCGAAGCATTCGTGACCGCGCCCGTCAAAATTCCTGTCAAACACTATGAAGAGCGTCTACCGGAGGTTTTGGCGGTACTTCTTTACGCTACTCCAGGCCTCCTCCCACGTCGCTTATGATCACTGGAGCTCTCCATATGATGATCGAGGGTCTGGATTTTTCGGGGGTTCGGATTGCCATGCACTTAATGATAAATCCCTCTTGGGTCAACCTCAAGTATCAGATATCAAATATTCACGTCCAAAATATCTGTTTATGGCGTATAAAATTCTGCCGGATCGAACACATTCCCGGCGGAGTCCACGGCGACAACAACCAACAGAAAAGGCTAAAAACAGGAACCATCACTCACATCATGTAGTCTATTTTTATCTTTGAAATAGTTAAACTTGTGGGAATTTCATCGGTCGCCAGTACCTCCCGACTCGTCATATGGCGATTGACTCGACATCGGGAACTTATACGTGAGCTGTGCGCCATTCTGTGGCAGCCTTGCTATGCGGGACTGCGCACCTGCCAGTTCGGGCCTGCGGCATTGATTCGGGCCGGTTAGTATTTCTCCTCACAGCCGCCACCATGTGGCGCGCTGTGGCAAGTGTCGCCCATGCTTATCATGACTCATCGGCGAAAATACTGTTGGTTTTCGAGGCCTCGGAACCCGATCGCCGTAATCAGTACGCTCCAACGTTCCTCATGATGAAATAGCGTATCCCTCGTTTGTATAAATGAGCGCATCAAGGCAAATCGAACCCTCCCTCATAGCGGTCACCATTAATCTGGACAATATGAGCTCTCAGGACCCCAACTATGCTGATTTCTTTGGCATTCACTCCGTCGCAGCTGCTATCATTTTCGCAGTCGCTTACGTTCCTCTTGTTGGCTGGTTCACGATCCAGTCATTTGGACGCCCTACATATGTTTTTATCATTCTCACCCTTTTCTGTGCAAGTGAGTAGATTGGTATATTACGAAGCTTTAATTTTCTAACCGCCTTTTCATTTCCCTAGTCCGTATTGCGGGATTCATCATCAGAGCCATACTGGCAGCCTCCGACAGTGTAGGGAGCAACTTGGGCGTGCTCATTGCGGAGCAGGTGCTGTTCGGTGTCGGCTTCTTTGGCCTCCTGTATTCCGCGTACACACTTGTTCTTGATCGGTGAGTATCACCACCCATGCCGAATGACTCACACTGAATCACGACCTCCTCGATCCTAGCTGGTCACTCACAGCGACAGCCCCCGGGAACGACCCTCTGTCCCGCATCACACACAACCGGCGGATATTCCGGATTACGCTCATAATCGCCGTCGTCCTTACCACCGTGGGTATCTCAGTGGCCATGAGCAACCAGCACATAGGAGACGCGCTGAAGGTCGCAGGGACCCTCATATTCCTTGTCCTCACGGTGTCTGTAGCATACCAGACCGTGCTCCTGTCTGGCATAGAGCTCAGTCAGTCAATTAGGATCCCGCTTTTCATATATCGAAATATTAATTATACTATCCTTGACACAGGGGGAAACGATTACAACTCACGCGCGAAGATCAATTCGCTCGGTCAGCAGTACGGCGCGTACATCCTGTGTATGATAGCTGCGCTCCTCATTGTTCGTGAGGCCTTCTCGACCGTTACGGTCTTTGACCATGCGAAGCAGTACAACGAGAGGCTTTGGTACCCGCTATACGCCCTCCCAGAGCTACTCGCGGTCATCCTGTACACCACGCCGGGCTTGGTGCCCCCGCAGTCTGAGCTGCCTGCTTAACAGCCATGAATCCGTGCGCCATAAACTA